TTGGAGTCTCCACTGTTGGTGGGGGCGCAGGCCAGAGGGGTTGGCTTTGGGTGCAGGTGGGGCTGGAGGGACCCAGGAGCGGCCTCCTCCCAGGAGGCAGGAGGCGGTGAACATTTGATGGAATCTGCCGGCTTGCTAAGAGCAGGGTGGTCTTCTTTGTGTGTGTGTTTGGGAATGAGACCTGTAGTGGCAGGAGTTCCAGCAACACTGGGCCCCTGGTTCTGACCCTAACTGCTCCCTTAGGGTCTCAACAGTAGACTGACCCTACACCTGCTCTTCCAACTCCACTGGGAGCCCAGGAGGGACCAGGCCCCAGGTTGGGGGTGGCGGGAGGTAGGGATAAAACAGTGCAGGGTGTGAGGGGCGCTGTTCAGAGGGACCAGGGGTCCCCAAACTGAGATGCCTCACAGAAGAGGGCCTCAATCAGAGTCTTGAAGGATGGGTAGGAGCCCTCCGTGTGATGGGGGCAGCAGTCATTCCAGGCAGAGCCCCGCAGTGTGAAACTGAAACAGCCTGGTTGGTTTCGGGGAAAGCAGCTGGAGCACGAGTAAGAGACTCTGGGACCTGGACTGTAGGGTCCCATGGGTCTGGGTTAACCCCAAGGCAGGATGCACTGTATGGTGCCTGCCCAAGTGATGCCCCAGGCTGACGGGGAGACCGGGTAGATTCGGCCACCCCACCAAATGGTTGTCATGGCCACTGTTAGCAAGGTGTGCTGCCCACCAGGCCAGATCAGCTCTGTCCTGGATGTGACAGATGTGACAACTCTAGCAGCTGAGGCCCAGAGCTTTCCCAGAAAGGGAGTCGGGATGGGAACTGCAGACCCTTGGCTGCCTGCTTCCTGCTTTCTGGTCTCGGGGACTTAAGAAAGGGATGGACAGAAGTTGGTTAAATGCAGGCAGGAGTGGAGGGTGGGGCATCTGGGGCATCAGAGCTGTTGGAGAGGGTGCCCAGGGGCTGCCCTCATCCTTGTACTGCTTTAACTTTTCCCTTCCGGTTGTGACCCCAGTCACCTCCTCCTGGAAGCCCTCCCTGACTTCCCATCTAAGGCAGTCCCCATTATACACTCACTTGGCACTCAGACTTGGAGTGGTTATGGCTTAAGGCCTGACTTACCTGGACCAGAGGTTTCCTGAGTTCATGCTCTGCTGTACTCTAGCCCCTGGTTTAGTAGGTGTGTGGTGAATAAGCCAATGACAGTGAAGGAACACACTTGGCTCTTAGGGTCCCTGGAGATCAAGTGTGTGGCTGAAAGGACCAAGGGCTGATAGAGTGGACCAGGTGACCTTTTCTCTCCCTGGGGTCCCACCTGGTTGCCTGGGTCTTCAGAAAAGGGGTATACTCACCCCTTGCTGCCTTGAATCTTCATGCTGTCTCCAGGAACTTGGCAGTGTCCTCCCTGCATGCGCCCAGCTAAGCTATCTTCTGTCTCCCACCCCTGGCTGAGACATGTCCCCCTTCCTTTTTTATTGCAGCTTCATGGCGGCTGAGGAGATGCACTGGCCTGTCCCCATGAAGGCCATTGGTGCCCAGAACTTGCTAACCATGCCTGGGGGTGTGGCCAAGGCTGGCTACCTACACAAGAAGGGTGGCACCCAGCTGCAGCTGCTCAAATGTAAGTCCTGGGTGGGGAGAAGCATAAGGAGGGGACGTGGGGACACGACTGAGCCATGGCCCTGCTGCCCCGTTTCCTCACTGGACCTCCTGGGCCAAGCAGCCTGCTTTTGCTTAGCATCTGCTGCCTTACCTGGTGGGCCCTCGCAAGTTTCCCTTCTTTCCCTGGTGCTGGCACCCTTGGCCTCCCCGGCCCCCAGGACTGGGTGGAAATAAAATGGGCATTTGGTGCACAGTGCTGACCAGCTGGCCAAGGGAGCTTCAGCCTGCGGCCAGGGGCTGGGGGCCCTTGTCGGCCTGGTAGGTCTGGCCCCTGGGTTAAGCCCAGGGCAGGATGCACTTCCTGGTGTCTGCCCGAGTGATGCCCCAGGCTGATGGGGAGACAAGGTAGATTCCAGCCACCCACCAAACAGTTGTCATGACCACTGATAATGAGGGTGTGCTGCCCACCAGGCTAGAACAGCTCTGTCCTTCATGTGACAACTCTAGCAGCTGAGGCCCAGAGATTTCCCAGAAAGGGAGTCAGGATGGGAACTACAGACTCTTGGCTGCCTGCTTCCTGCTTCCTGGTCTCAGGGCTTTAAGAAAGGGATGGACAGAAGCTGGCTAAGGGCAGGCGGGAGTGGGCAACAGGGTGCCCTCACCTTATCGAGAGGGTGTTCAGTGAGTCAGGCAGTCACTGTCCGCAGCGAGCCAGCTTTAGTCCAGGGGCCCTGTGGTGACTCCACACAGCCCTCGACTCTACCCCTGCCCTGGAGCGGCCAGCACGCCCATGAGCTTGTCCGCATCTGGCCCCATGGTAGACCCCAGGGCAGGGGCGGCAGGCCAGCCCAGTTCCCTGCCTTCCATTCAGTGGTGTTCAAAGGCAGGCGTCCTGGCCTGGTGTTCCCAGGGCCCTGAGCGTAGTCCCCAGCGCGGGGCCTGCCTGCGACCCCGGCCCCGTGGCTCACCCTGCCCCCAACACCGCCCGCAGGGCCCCTGCGCTTTGTCATTGTCCACAAGCGCTGTGTCTACTACTTCAGGAGCAGCACATCCGCCTCCCCGCAGGGCGCCTTCTCGCTGAGCGGCTACAACCGGTAAGTGTCCCCATGCCCACTGACCCCGGGCCCCACGGTCAGCTGCTCCACCCTGGTTCCCGTTCAAGGCAGGTCCCAGCTTTCCTGAGATGGCCCCACCCCAACCCCTTTGGACCACGTCCAGCCTCTTCCACCCCCGTCCTGGCCTCAGGGCAGCCTCGTCTCCTCCCTGAGTGGACCTGCAGTCTAACCTGAGTGCTTTGCCGAGGGCCTGAGGGCAAGGCTGAGGCTTTCTGACTCATGGTTGGGACAGCATGCTCTCCAGGGTCCCCATTCAGTCACTGCCCAATGACTTCTGTGTCCCTCCTTCCTCCCCACCTTGTCCCCTCACCCATCACTGCCTCCTTCTGAATGGCCAAGAGCCCAGCCCACTCCCGGCCCTGCCCCAGGCTCCCTTGTCCCCGCTATGGGCTGGGCCCGTGAGTCAGGCCATGATCTGACCGTGAGGGGCTCTGGGACTAACGGGCCGGTGGGCACTCCCCTCCACACACACCGTGAGTTGGGGTGGGGTGGGGCATACTGGCCTGTGTGTGCCCACACACACACACACGCACAGCAGGGGTCAAGGGTGATTCCTGGCTCTAGGTCCTGGTGTCACACCACTCAGGCCCTGCACCTGAGGGCATTGGTCTGTGTCTCTTGCCCTCCCAGGAGGGCCTGGCCACTCCTTCCTATGAGAACCCAGGGTCCGTGGTGTCAGTGGCAGGACTGAGACCCTTTGGGAGTGGCTGTAGACCCTGGCTTGCACCCAAGCTCTCGGCCCAGTGCAAGACCCCCCAGGCAGAGGAGGGGGGAGGCTCCAAGCTCCTGTGGTCGTCAGTTGGTGGGTCAGAGCTCTGGGGGCCCCTGGAAAGGGACATTTCCTTTCTGTCGACACTCCACCTTCGACCTGGTAGGGGAGCAGCCTTGCCCCAGGGGATGGTCCAGGCCCTCTGATGGGTCATATGGGCACACCTGCCCCAGGTGCCCAGACTGGCAGTACCCCCACCCCGCGGTAGACGTCGTGGTCTCTGTGCGAACCTCACGTCCCGGCTGTGGGAGCGGCCACAGTGAATCACTTGCGAGAAAAGCTCTCCGACACCTGCCAGGCATCAGGGGTGGGGCAGAGGCTGACCCGGAACCCCATGCAGGCAGGCCCCCAGCAGGCGGGCCGGGACCAGGCGGGGTCCAAGGCACCCAAGTAAAGCCCTGAGGGGTAGCAAGGGTGGCACGTCCTTGCCTCAGAGCCTCACGTGCGCTGCGCCCTGGAAGCCCTCCCACACGCCGGCATCCTGTCTGTTCACTGCCCACCTCTGCCCACATGCGTCGGCCTCCGACCATCCACATCTTCCCCGTTCCTCGGGGCACGGTGCTGGGGCTGAAACTGGTTGGGGTGGGGGCCCTGCCAAGGCCGTTCCTGTGGGCGGGGAACCGGGGTGACCACTGGACCTGTGCCCTCAGGGTGATGCGCGCCGCTGAGGAGACAACGTCCAACAACGTCTTCCCCTTCAAGATTGTCCACGTCAGCAGGAAGCACCGCACATGGTTCTTCTCCGCCTCCTCTGAGGATGAGCGCAAGGTGAGGGGGGCCGGGGACTAACAGGGCCCAGGCCCGGCCCTGAGGGATGTGGCTGGGGCATGGGCTGCTGGGCGGGTGCTGCCCTCGGTCCTCTGTCCTTGCGCCCGGAGCCGGCACCCTCACCCTGAGAACTTGCTGTCTCAGGGGGAACCCTGGATGGGCTGACAGGGCTGTAGCCCCAAGAGGGCCAACCAGGGCTGTCTCCCCGAAACCCCGTGGTGGATGCAGACTAGCCGGTGCAGGGACGGGAGGTGAGGAGAGGCGAGGGAAGGGCTCTGCCCTGGCAGTAGTGCCCACTGAGGCCCTGACTGACCCACAGAGCTGGATGGCCTTGCTGCGCAGGGAGATCGGCCACTTCCATGAGAAGAAGGAGCTGCCTCTGGAGGCCAGGTGGGCCTGGGGCATGACGGCGGGCAGGGTGTCACTGGGGTCCCTCGACCTTGACATGTGTGCCGTCCTCCTCACCCGTGGGGCTGGGCACCGAATCCCCTCCTCCGAGGCTTTTCTGAAGGTGCCACCTGGGCCACATGTGTGGGGTGTGCATCTGCATGCGTGTGCCCGAGCGTGTGAGCATGTGTGCACACACCCCCATCGGTGGTTCTTGTTGAAAGGGCTACAGGTGTTTCTACCTGCCCTTTCAGGAGGCTCGGAGTCTGTAGTAGCTCAGACCTTTGGGTTCTCAGGCCTCTGACGCCCACTCTGGCTCACGACGGAGTGAGACCAGAGTGAGTCCCCTGGGCGGTGGCTCAGCAAGCAGCAGGGGCTCTGGGTGCGCACAGCGTCCATCCTGCCCTGGAGACGAGGACACTGAGGCCCAGAGAGGGCTGGCACACTGAGGCTGCTCTGCAGGCCCTGCCAGAGCCCTGTGGGCACCCTCTGGGCAGTCAGGGCACCCTTGTGGCTAGAACCACAGTGGAGTTGAGGAGGGAGGCACCACAGCCCTCACGTCTGTCCTTGTGTGTTTATCTTTATGTGTCCATGTGTCTCTGCGTGTGTCCTTGTGAGTCCTGGGCGCCTGTCCACATCTGCACGTCTGTGTCTGTGTGCACATGCCTGCGTCTGCATGTCTGTGTGTGTCATGCGTGTCCGTGCACGTGGGTGCCAGAGGCCCCCCGCCCGGCGCTCAACTGCCCTGCCCTCCCCTGCACTCAGCGACTCCAGCTCGGACACAGACAGCTTCTACGGAGCGGTTGAGCGGCCCGTAGACATCAGCTTCTCTGCATGCCCCGCGGACAGTGAGGGTGAGGCGCGTCCCCACGTCCACTGCCCCACCGTCTCTCCAGCCTGGCCGCTGGCAGGGGCTGGGTCAGGTCCTCCTCTCAGGCTGCTGCCCAGGAGGGAGGCATGTTTGGCTTCCTCCCTGCTCTGTCCCTTTGGCCCCCCCAGGCAGCCTGGGTCTCGGGTCCCATCCTTGTCCTGAGGACCCCACCCTGCCAGTCCGCCCTGATGCTGCTGGCCTGGGCCGCCCTGGCTCTGACCCTCTGTCTGCCCCTCAGACTACGAGCATGATGATGAGGACGACTCGTACATGGAGCCCGACTCGCCTGAGCCCGGGAGGCCTGAGGGTAGGCAGGGCCAGCTGGGGGCTGGAGAGGCCTCGGGGCGAAGAGCAGGGCCTGGGGCCTGGGGCCTGGGGCCGGGGCCCCTTCCAGGCTGGGGGACTGGGGACTGCTCTGGGTGGCCTCAGGCCCGACAGGCTCCACCCCAGGCCTCAGTTTCCCTACTGTGGCCCGAGTATTAGGAGGAACAGAGCAGAAGAGGCTGGACACCCTTACTGGTCCTGCTCACCTGCTCCTCCTGCCTCCTGCAGTTAGCCGGGGTGGTGGGGGGCGGCGCACTTGGGATGCTGGGCTGAGAACTAGGGAAGGAGGGACAGCTCTCTCAGCACTTCCGCAAGCCAGAGGGTCACACGCTGCCCCGCCCCCGCCCCCACCTCCCAAAGCACACAGCCCAGCGAGGGAGGCAGGCTTGTACCGGCCTTTGATTTACTCACATACCACAGTGGAGCAACAGACCGGTGTGGGAGGGCTGTGCCTCTGTCCTGCCCTCTGTCTGTCACTCCCTACCCCTGCCATCTGTCCTCTGTCTCCGTCTCTCCCCTCTTTGCCTACTGTCCCATCACTCACCCTGTACCCCCGGTTTTCCTCCCCCAGCCCCTCCTCCCCAGCCCCAGCCCCAGCCCCTCTCATTCATGTTCATTTCAGTATTTCTGGGACAGTTTCTCCACCTCTGGCCTCCCTGTGCCAATGACCTTGTCTTCTTCCTGCCTCAACCCCCTTGTGTCCTCTTCTTAGCTCCACCCCACCTCAAGTGCACCCGGGTCCAGCCCCCTTCCCTGCTACGAGCTCCCTCCCTCTGAGGTCTGGCTGCCACAGGCCTCCAGCCCACCAGGACCTGCGGGCCAGCACAGAGCCCACATCTCTGCCCCAGGCCGTGGTCTTTGCACCCTCACTCAAATGTTCCACCCTCTCCTGTCTCTGGCCTTGTGACCCCAGCCCTGGGGAAGCCCCCGGCTCGGTCCGCCCTGTCCTCGCTGGAGGAGGTGCACAGGGCCTCGCTACACATTCTCCCCCTGGCCCTCCGGGGGCCCAGCACTTTGCACACCTGCCGGCACTGTCTGGCCACTCAGGCTCCCCCTCTCAGAACATCTCTCGTCAGGGTTCCCACTGCAGGGTGGGAACCCTGGGTGGCACTTGGTCCAGTGCCCTCTCCCTGTCCCCACCTGTCCTGCTAGCACCAGGCACCTCATGCTCCAGGCCCCCTCCCACCTCCCACCAGCCCTGCTCCTCCCGCACACCCGGCGACTGGAGGGCCACCCGGGTTCAGGCCTCTCCCACCTTTCTCCTGTCACGCCAGGGCCACAGCCAGCATAGTCAGTGGGCTGCTGACGCGGTGGACATGTGCAGCCAGGCCCTCTCTCTGTGCTCTGGGCCTGTGCCCCAACACTTCCCTTGGTGTCCCATAGATGTCTCACAGCATCTTAAACTTGTCGTGAACACAACCCTTGTCTTCCTCCTAGCCTGCGCCCACCCTTCCTCGTCTCTGTGGGAATTCCAGCCTCCCGCAGCTGAGGCCCATCCTCAGAGGCCTCCTTGCCTCCTCTCTGCCTCTTGCTTTCCTCTCCAGGAACTTAATGGCTCCTGATGTGACATCTGGGCTTCAGGGAATTTCAACAGGCTGCTGTGTGGAGGAGGAAGGGGTGGGCTGGTGGCGTGGACTGGGCCAGGACCCCAGGAGGAAGGCTGCATCAGGAGTGCTGGGCGTTGGGGCTGGGCGTTGGTGGCCAGGCTGTGAGGGGCGCACACCTGCTTGGCCCCCGCCATCTGTTACTGGTGGAGGTGGTGCTGGTCCAGCCTCCAGCAGGCGACGCTTGCTCACCAGATGGGTCTCTTTGCTCTGCAGACGCCCTGGTCCACCCGCCGGCCTACCCCCCACCTCCTGTGCCCACGCCCAGGAAGCCAGTCTTCTCCGATGTGCCTCGCACACACTCCTTTACCTCCAAGGGTGCAGGCCCCATGCTGCCACCCCCGCCCCCTAAGCGCAGCCTCCCTGATGCTGGCTCAGCCACTGAGGACTCCAAGAGGGACCTGCTGGGCCTGAAGCGGATTGAACCCAGCCCCAGGGTGCCCACTGCCTCCCGAAGGATGAGCGACCCCCCGCTGGGCAGCCCGCCCACCATGCCCGGCCTCCGGAAACCACCTTGCTTCCCTGAGAACACCTTCCATGAGAATACCAGCCCCAGCCTGGAGCCCCGGATCCCCAGCCACGGGGTCAGCTCTGCCAGCACGGCCACTGCCGTCTCCAGGAACTGTGACAAGCTCAAGTCCTTCCATCTGTCCCCTCGGGGGCCACCCATGCCTGAGCCTCCTCCCTTACCAGCCAACAAGCCCAAGTTCCTAAAGATGGCAGAGGAGGTCCCGCCGAGGGAGGCAGCCCGGCCCGGACTCTTTGGGCCCCCTGTGGCCCCCAAGCCGCCTGCACTGAAGCTACCCATGCCTGAGGCCACAGCCCGGCCCGCAGTCCTGCCCAGGCCAGACAAGCCGCCCCTCCCCCAGCTCCAGTGAGTCTGTGGCACCAGTGCCATTGGGACCCCTCCCTGGCCTGTTCTCCCGCTGGCACCCCAGTCTCCCTGCCTCTGGCACCCAGCCAGGACAAGGAAGGGTCCGTGACTGCTCCAGTCTGCCTAGGCTGAACGGCCCCCCCACCTGGCCAGGATACAAGGGGCATCCAGCCTTGAAGCCCAGCCCAGCGCGTGGTAGACCTGGAGCTCTTGGCTGCCTTGGGGCGCAGTGAGCAAGGAGGGTGGGGGAGGTATGTGGCTGGGAGCCTCTCTGAGCCCGCGGCCTCTGCAGGCCCTCCTGACCCAGAGTGGCCCTCTCCAGCCCCGTCTGGGGCTCTGGATGTGTCCCTCGCTCCAGAGCCACTAAGGCTGCCTGTGTGCCCTTCTCGACTGGGGACCTGCTGGAATGTGGCACAGGCCTGTGACACCCCCCCGGGGCCTGCTCCAGACACTTCTGCTTCATGGCTGGGCAGGGCCAGGACACTGGCATGTCCCTGCTCCCACAGTCATCCATGCCCCCGGCCACGGCCGCAGAAGTCGGGAGCCCTTAGCAGTGAAGGCTGTGGGGGCCACGGGGGCGCGCCTCGAGTGGGCGCACTGGTCTGTGCTCCCCAGCCGCCCTGCCCCCGGGAAGTGCCGGGGGGCCCTTGGACACACCTGTGGTTGTGTTTCATGAGGGGCCACAGAGGTGCAGGCTGGGTCATTTGCCACTCTCTGGATCCGGCCCTGAGGACCACAGGCAGCTTGGGCCGGGGATGGTTGTCCACAGTGCAGCCTCGCCCCCAGCCCGGCAGCCCCTCCCGTAACTCCCGCGAAGCCCTGGAGGCTTAGGACCACCTGGCCACAGGTGAGGGGCATGTGCCTCCAGCCCGACCCATCCACATGCATCCTCTGGTGCTGAAAGGGGCGTGATTTGGCTGAGGTTACAGAGTTGGTCAGTGGCAGAGCTGGGGATGACACCCCCCTCAACCTGGGGCCTTTTCCATCCAATGTCCAGACCACTTGTCCACAGTGTGACACCACCAGAGCCCAGGACCCCCCCTTGCCTGTGACCCCAGCCCTGGCTTCCAGGCCTCAGGCCATTGCTGCCACCCCATGACGGTCAGCATGGACCCCTCCAGAGCTCTGTGGTCGTGGGCCTTTGACAGCCACCAGGGCTGTAGCAGCCAGACCCCCTGGGTTCCAACGCCTGGTGTGGTCACTTGGAGGGTGCTTGGGTGTGGTGGTGGGGGGGCCTTTCCTGTGTCTGACAGTGGCGTGGCCTTCCTGTCCTTGTTCCTCTCCCAGGCGGTCACCCCCTGATGGGCAGAGTTTCAGGAGCTTCTCCTTTGAAAAACCCCGGAAACCCTCGCAGGCTGACTCTTCACAGGCCGACCCTGGTGGGGAGGACTCTGATGAGGACTATGAGAAGGCAAGGCCCAGTGGCATGCCCAGGTCCTAGCTGTGGGTGGACGGCTGCGGGAGAGCCACAGGCCAGGGCGGCCCCTCCCTGGCCATCTCGAGCCAGGAGCCCCAGGACCCTGGAGCGGCGGGTGGGGGGGATGAACACAGCACAGAGCCCCGGATCTTGGCACAGGCGGGCAGCCAGTGGCGTGGTGGAGGGTGCTGGCCACAAGCACTGCTCAGACCTGACACGACCACCACCGGCCTCTCTCCAGGTGCCCCTGCCTAGCTCTGTCTTCATCAACACCACGGAATCCTGCGAAGTGGAGAGGTCAGCGTGAAGCCCTTCTTCCTCCAAAGCCTTGTTTTTACAGACATGAGGTTCCCAGCTGCTCCCTCCACCCCATCTTCCTGCTTCTCTGGCCCCCTCACTAGCCTTGGTGCTGGGCAGTTGCTGGCACAGTACCCGGCCAAGTGCCACGAGAAGCTTGGCAAAAGAGCAGAGCGCACGAGCCCAGCGCTGCAGTGGGCCGGCCCCCCTGGGTCTGTGCAGCTGGGTCTCGGGGTGCCCAGTGCTCTCAGGGCCTGAGCAGCAGAGGCTGGGAGGACAGAAAGCCTGGGGGGTCTCCGAGAGAGCGGTCTGTGGATGGTTCCTCTATTGACGTGACTGTTTCACTTCAGGCTGTTCAAAGCCACAAGCCCCCGGGAAGAGCCCCAGGACGGACTCTACTGCATCCGGAACTCCTCCACCAAGTCAGGGAAGGTAGGTACCGAGGGAGGGCACCCGAGGTCACCCTGCTGAGCAAAGACCCCCCCCCAACAGCTGCACTGTAGTAGGGTCTTCTGGCTTCCACACACCCAGGCTGACAGGTGAGCACAGGGTTGTACAGTTTATTGGTCACTGCCCCATGCAGCCTCAAATTTGGCATCTCAGCTGAGCTTCATCCTTGAGGTCTCTGCCTGGCAGCCCCCTCCCCATTTATTCTCAGGAACTGGAGACCACGTGCAGTGATGCCCACCCCTCAGCATGAGCACGAGGCGGGAAAGCAGGGTTGGAGGTCCCAGGACTCATGGGGTGGGTGATTCCCGCACATTGAAGGGGAGGGTGCCTGGGGCAGTGGGAGTGGTGGATGGTCTGCGGGACTGCCAGTGCCCCTCCAAGGGTGAATTGTGTGACCTCACTGAGCCTCAGTTTCCCCACTGTGAGAGATCGTCCTGGACTGGACCAGCCATCTGCTGCTGTTACTCAAGTCTTCTCAGAGGCTGTCTGAGGGCAGGAGTCCTGCTGCCCACGCGCAGGGCGAGCCTTCCCCGCGGACCCAGCCCTCATGCTGCTCCCTGGCCTCTGAGGTCCTTCGTCTTTCCTGAGGTGAGCGCTGCTCTCGGCTGAGCCGACCATTGCCCGCTTCTCTTCCTTCAGGTCCTGGTCGTGTGGGATGAAACCTCCAACAAAGTGAGGAACTACCGCATCTTTGAGAAGGTGAGCGGGCTGGCCCTACCCGAGGGTCCTGGACGGGCGGGGAGCCCTGGGCTGGGGCTTGGCTGGGGTCAGGGCAGACTTTCCTTGGTAGAGCATAGGCAGTGGGTGGTCTGAGGCCAGCACCTCCAGACATCCCCCCTCCCCCCCCTCCGCTGCCTCACGCCTCCCCCTCCTCCTTCGCCCTTCCCGTTCGTCCTCCACTCGACCTAACGAGATGGCATGATCAGCCCTCGAC